TAGAATAAAAGTGACAAGCGAGCACAAAGCCCATCATCAGATGTTAAGTGGATGTTGTGTCCCATAGACATCTACATCTATCCTCTATATAAGATATTTGATTGACAGAATCAAAATGCAGAAGTGTTGTCACCCCTGGTGAATAAGATAGAATGTATTTAATGTAATTTGTAAATTTTATGTAATTACCAATAAAAAGGGTACACTCACCATACGCAGCATTGACCTGCTATTTTACGCTGGTATTCTGTGAGAGCGTTGTCTTTCCACGGTCGAACCGACCCATGCGTGCTACAACCTTGTTATAGCAGCAACTCACTCACTGCTCGCTGTTGTGATATAATAGCCTTCCCCTTCACAGTATATCAAACGTCCACTCCTGAACATAGGCCGTCCCAATTGATTGCCTCATAGGAAGGATGTTGATTGGGGTTGATTGCCATAGTTGCCACGCTTGGCAATCGGGTTGGCAAGCGCATTATTTTTGTGGAGATGTTATCAGAAACATGTTGCTGCCCATCTCCTGGTTTAGTTTCCGTCTGTCGCCTCTGACGACACCCACGGGATAATATTGGGTAGGGGATATTCTTACACCGCCACTACACGGTGCATATAATAGCAATCATTGCCAATTCTCTTAAAGATAACTTTCTAATATGTAGATAGAATATAAATAATTTTCGCAACAATAACATTATAAGCTCCTCCTAAGTCCTAACGATTATTTCTGAACAACAACGTTGAGCAACAACCGATTGAACGCGCATTATATATCAAACATAATATATTGAACGAAGATGGTACGGTCATTGAACGCATTGTATACGGTTCGATACGTTCTGCTGGAAGTAGTAGTGACTGTCGTGTCCATTTGTCAACAAAAATTGTATAATAAGGGTTATTATAGCCTTGGGAATGACGCAATCGCTACCGCATGCTACTGTTTCTACCGTTTTCATACTAATTGTATAAAAGAATATATTGTAAATTAATTTTATTCAAAAAATAGTCCCACTGGGTTTCTTGCTGGTTCTTCCCACAGAGGATTTTTCCTCATCATCATTACAGCCCTTCACAAGTCCACTGTTAAACATAGGCCTCCCCCAAGGAATGCCACAAAGCCCAGTCCTGAGCCTCCTGCATCCATCGACTTCCTGCATATCTTACCAGGTCGTCACTCCATCTTGTGGGGGGATGCCCTACACTTCGTCCGCCGGTACGAGGCCGCCACTCGAGAACCTTTTTTCCCCATCGGTTGTCCGTTCTTCGAGCTATATGGCCGGCCCATTGCCACTTCAGCTTACGAATCCGTTGCGCTATGTCGTTCACTCTGGTTATACTGCGGATATCCTCATTTTGAAGTTTATCACGCAGAGAAACTCCGAGCATAGCCCTCTCCATAGCTCGCTGAGCGACCTTGAGCTTCCTCATACAGCCAGCAGTGAAGGATCACGTCTCAGTTCCATAGGTGGCAGCACGCACTGGTTGTACAGTCTTGTTTTCAAGTTTTGAGGTATACCTGATTGATATTTTTTTTATTTGGAAACTGGTGCTTCACATGTGGTCCCATATAAATTTGATCAAGGGCTGACCAATAGTTTTTGAGTTATTCTTAATAATTTATATTGAAGTCCGTTGTACAAAATGTTTAATTTTAAATTACATAACTTGCAGTTAGAAATACGGTTATAGTTACCGTTACACCCTACCAAAATCCACTGCTAAACACAGGCTCCCTTATTTGCCTTATAGAGGGGATATTTGCTATAGTTGCCACGCCAGGTGCGTTGTAATTGCAGGTTTTTTTTTGCTATGAGGAAAACGTTTGTGTTCAACTCCTGATTTGTTTCCCTTTGTTGCCTTTCTCTACATCTATGGGACGATATGGATTAGAAGATAGATATTCTTACACCGCCACTAAACGGTCATGTGTTTTATAATTATAGTGAAAGCGTTAATTATTAATCTAAAAATAAGATTGCAATAAATAATTAAAAGAGAAGCAATTTGAAAGTGATGATAGAAAGCAAAGTAATCGTTTAACATGAAATTATTTCAATCAACTGCTGAAACTTTGAGCAAAATTAAGTAATCAATCTAAATTAAAAAAAAAGAAAAAAAATATGTATATATATATATATATATATATATATATATATATATATATATAGGTACTTTTTATCGTGTTCAAACTAAATTGACGAGTTTCATTTTTAATTCGTAACTGATGTTAATTATTTAACACATGCGATCTACTATCTATCTACTAACAATAAATTTGACAGACGAGAAAGCAAACGCTAGTCTTATGAACACAGGACACATCATTATGTACGATAAACAACTTTCATTTCTTTTTCTATCCTATTATTAAATATTGATCAGTGGCTTTGGACAAATTTTTGATACTAACGTTATAATTTCGTATCGAATATTAACAACGACCTGGTAAGACCTGCAGGAAGTTAATGGATGTAGGTGTTTCAGGACCATTAGTGACATTCCTTTGGGGAGGCCTGTGTTGAACAGTGGTCTTATAACGACCGTAGATAATGATGACAAACAGCGTCCTCTGCCTGAAACTAAGATATAGTTCGATTTGCATCCGCCATGAGCCTTATTCATATTTCCATACAATTTTAGTGGATGACAATACGAAAATATTGGTGGGAAAATCTTGTGCTAAAGGGGAGGCTTGTCTTTAATTAAGAACTCATAACGACCGACAACCTAGTAGAGTTTAATGGTAAAATTAATGAATTAAACGAAAATCCAATTACAAAACTGGATTTAATTAAAAACCGCGTAGACTTATTTATTTTATTTATAGTAACTAAATGTATAATTTACATAGAGCCAATGATATTAAAATAAAATATATGATCATAAGGATTTATATCATACACATCAAAGGCTCCATTTTTGATATTGACGTAAAAAAAAAACAAAAATAAAGATAAACGGGAAATTAAACCCATCTAATTAAAATAATAACTATAAAAAAATAACGAACTCAATTTGGCCATACGTCATTTTAATGACCTCTTTGACCCAGTAACAAAGAGTTGCCAGCACGCAATGATTGTAATGTTACTAATTCACCAAAGTATATGGAATAGCAAATTATTCAACATGATATATATTTTATCTTTACTTATAGCTGGAGCAGTGGAGTTTTACGGGGTCATGATAAAGAATAAGAACATGTTTAAATTGAAGATATTATGTAAAGGTTATCTTCTACAAAATGCCATTTGGTTACTTAAAGTTGATAAAAGCATTTTATAAACATAAAATTGAAGTGATAAACGAGTTCCTGGTCCACCGGATGGTAAGTGGTTACAGCAGCCCATGGAAATATACAACCAACTTTTAACGAAGAAGCCCCTTACTTTAGACCGGGACACAGTAAGTAGTTCGGGCACTGATGCTATGCGGACTTAATAGGTAACAGTGTGGTGCCTATCCAGACTCACTCCTAGGCAGTAAAATCCTTCTACCGCCTCGTGTGCCACATAGAAATTTATTTCATTAGTAATAAATTACTGCCGATATATAATGTACTAATTATTCAAATATAGTAAAAGTGATACTAAGTATATAAATATTTCAAAATTGAAATAAAATATTGTGGGGTGCATGGGAAAAAAACATGAAACTGTTCCCCGCGACTCCGCCTGCTAGTAATTTGATTGTGAGGGAATAGAGAGTGCACCTATACTGTGCACCTGTGCTTGTGCATATATTCGGATGCTATAATTCTGTACTGTGCTGATGGGATAGTCTCCGTTAAGACTGGTCGCTGTGACAGAAATTTGGTTGGGAGGACACTCAATCCAACAATAAACCCAATTCTCAACTCAACCTAACACTCAACTCGGCTCTTGACACAACCGACGCACTGATGATAATCACAAGGAGTTGAGTTTGTTTGTCAGTTTGTTTATCATTATACTTATGACTTTAAGTACTGTTAGGCGAGGTAATTTATATATTTTTTTAGAATTTTACGACTTAATTGCTGCATTCATATGATTATTGATCACAAATATTAAATATATTACGTATAAATTGATTATTTGAGTTCATTAAAGCAGTAGGCCTTATTACCCTACTATAGTAAAATACAAACAAGGTTTTTACAAATGTTAAATTTTGATATGTTTAAGTTTTTAATTTTTTTTGCGCGGCACCCTAATTCTTTTTTTTAAATAAAAGTAGCCTAAGTTCCTCTTTATAACATTGCTGTCTGCTAGTGAAATTTCCGTCAAAATCGGTCCAGCCGTTTTGGAAATTAGCCGGAACAAACAGACAGACAGACAAAAATTTTAAAAATTTTATTTTTGTTATAAGTACCGTATATACTTTCATATGCATTTAGTGAAAATATGTTATTTTGACAATACAACCACACATTCCAATTTTATTTATTTGTATAGATATAGATATAGATGTATAGATAATTTTATTTTTGATGGTCTAAATTCAACCCTGGCGTAAATTAAGTCACGTTGGCCCTAAACTGTCATATTTTAGGGCCAACGCATTTGTGCTATTTAATTGCGCGGTTGGACCCGTCCTTACGCTAGTATAATATAAGTCAATGATTTGTGCATTAAAAATTTATTTAAATGTCTGCGTAGTTTTGACACATGACGCCGACACTGACCGCTTTGACCGAGCACGCCGCTCGCAGCATCCGCGGTCCAGTTTGGCGAAAATGCACCTACTTTCTTTTCACTGCATCTAGCGAACTTTATGTACGAAAATCTACGCGGTCCCAGCAATTGTAAAAACGATATCATTTAAATTTGCACTTTATGCTACGGTTGTTACGGTCGATAGGTAAACGACTGTAAACATATACATACGCCACAGAAAAATATACCGTAATGTATTACATTACGATTGTGTTTGCAGTGTACTTTATTAAGATCGTCTGTATACTATATACCGTACTCGTATTTTAAACGTAGACGTAGATATGGGTTGGCGTGGTTAGTCGCTCGAGAGCAGCGGCGAAGTGCGGACTTATTGTGTGTTATATAACGAACTTTTTGTGTTTTATATTTTAATAAATGGTGAATAACAATGACTTGTGTTACTTTCTGCATAGTGTGCGCTGAGTGTGGTAAACTGTGAGGAAGCGATGCAATTTCGCTCGCTGCTGCCAGAGGAATCGTGTGCCGGCATGAAGGGTCAACCGGTTTGGTGAGTTCACTTACCGAACACTCGAATGTAGATTAGAAAGCCCTCGCAGATATATCTAAGCTCATAGTTGCGTTCATTTTTAAATCATCAAGAGTTCTATTCCCCATCTACTATGATAAGACTTCTTTTACATTTATGTATAAGTAGCTACTTAAACGCCTTACAGCTGAAGGCTTTTAAAACCTATAAAACGATGTTTAATTTTAAAATGCAAATTTTCACATTATGAACGTAAAAATCTTATCCAATATAGGTACGACAATTGAAAATGTTTAGATCACTATAAAATTTAAATCTCATTGACCACAAGTAGGGCTGCCAACCCTTTGTTATAAATTAAAAATACTTCAATGAATTGTCCTACTATATTAGGGGGCATAAATACTATGATCCAAAACTGTAGCACTCAAAGCAGAAAAAAAAATTGTATTAAAATATTTCTTTTTTTAAATAAATATTTAATTTAGTCGCCATCTATATAGGTATTAGTACGCAAAAGCTCCGAAACTACTATATTTTATATTAAAGTTATTATAGTAACTACAATACAAGACGCATTTGAAACATCATATTCATGATCAAATGAGGAAATAAAATTTTTGAGTTGAAAAAATGGTTTTAAAATAATCTCAAATATTTTACATGCAAGAGCGCACATCATAAACATTCTGTAGTATACCTGTAAAATACAAACTATATCTTATATGCATAAATTAAAAAAAATGATTGATAAGAAAGAGATAGCATAATCGATAACTAATAATATTATTCATATTCTAGATCCCCTAGGAATATCTCAGCAACAGAATATAACAGTTGAAGTGAAAATTAAATATGTCATTACTGTATATTTCTTTGTAAACGTCTGGATGGCAAAACACGAGATTATTGATAACTTTCCATGTTCCACATACATATTAATGTGTTTTCTACGCTCCCGTTTCTATAACTTCATCTATGTAAGCTGTATATGCTTGATCGGAAAAGTCATGTACGGACGGACGGAAGATTAACAATAATTTTGCACTAATATAAATGGATATTCAAATCACACGGTTTAACTAGGTAGGAACTTATATCCCTAGGAGAAATTTAAGTTAGGTATCACCCACTTACGTATTTTTGTCATTAAGCAATAATGAACCCACCCACCTAGTGTGTGGTACATTAGGTGGGTGCGTTTATAGCTGCTTGCTGGTTTAAGGGCAAGAGAGCCACCAATATAAATTAAATACTGGGAGCCATTCCATCTTTGTTCTTAGAGCTGACTACGTACCTATGACCTATTTTATAGCTGGTCGCAGGTCTAAACTAAACCGTTGATCACTCTAAGACTTAAAAAAGATTCCCAGATGTCCTAAGATTGTCAATTCAGGGAATTGAAGAAAACAGGTGATTTTATGGCGTAATTATCTTAAAGGAAAACATTTAATAGTTAATGCAACCAAATATGGATTCCTTTTTGAAGAGAAAACTTCTTTAGAATCGTTGTGATTTGAAACGAAAAAGCGAGACTAATAATTTAAAATTAAAAATTTTGTACAACCGACTTCAATTTATCATATTAAGAATAACTCAAAAACTTATTAGTCAGACCTTGATCAAATTATATGGGACCACATGTGAAGCACCAGGTTTCAAATAAAAAAAGAATCATCGAAATCGGTTCACCAAGTAAAAAGTTATGTGATAACACACAAAAAACATACCTACAGTCGAATTGAGTACCGTCTCCTTTTTGAAGTCGATAGAAAAGAGACAAACATATTATGTATATATATGATTTAGCCTGGGAGATATTGAGATAGAATATTATATTAAACTAGCTCTTCCCCGCGACTTCGCCCGCGCGTAATTTATTACGATTGGATTTCATGGGTTTTAATTTTTTGCGCGGAACCCTAATTCTTTTTCTAAAATAAAATTAGCCTAAGTTACTTCTTATAACATCAGCTATCTGCTAGTGAAATTCCGGTCAAAATCGGTCCAGCCGTTTCGCAGATTAGCCCGAACAAACAGACAGACAGAAAGAAAGAGAGACAAAAATTTTAAAAATCGTGTTTTTGTTATAAGTACCGTATATACTTTCATATCCATATAGTAAAAAGCTGTTATTTCGACATTACAAACAGACACTTGAATTTTATTTATTTGTATAGAGTATAGATTAGTCGTAGTCGAATAATGTATTATTTTATATTTCATTTCATTCGAAGGTTTCACTTCTAGCGCGTTGAACTGCACTCTTGTTTTTTTTTTTTTATTGAAAAGATGCGTCCATGAAATTGTTCAGATAGTCAGATAGATAAGTCTGGGTATATTTTCTGTATACCTAGTTAGGATGTTAAACATACTCTTAATATCAAAATCTACACACATATTAAAAACCTGACTTTAAAAAAAGTAAAAACGAACTTCAAAGAACTAAAATTAAAAATAATAAAACTTCAAAGAACTAAAATTTCAAATAATTTAGTGGCTTCTGTAGTTGGTGCTAAAACATAGTGTATAGAAAAATTAAAGTTTAATTTTTAACCCTTTTAAGTGGACTAAGCATTAATTATCATTAATCTCAAGATAACTAAGAATTTCGTCTAAATACAATTTCCGTCCGGTCTTTACCCTCAGAAATACATTTTCATTATATGTGGGCCCATTTAAAGAAATACAGCCTATTTAATAAAAAATGTATTACTTAATAAGAAACGGTTCACAATTGACGACTATATCACGTAACATTTATACAAAAATAATACAGTCAGAATGTGAATCTCCTCATCTCTTGAATATAGGTCATAATTTACAAATTGTGTTATTATAAAAACGACTTTAAACCTAAATTATTAGAACATAAAATCAGGGTATACAAATTACCATACCATTCATAGCGTGTATGTGTACATTCTACCGATAAAATAGTTACTTGAAGTACCGTGTTGAATACGGTAAGCAAGAAAGAAAAAGAAAGAAGAAAACAGTGACATTAACTCACTTACGGTTTTTATATTACGACTTTTTTTTATTCATAATTTTTTCTTCATAATTCTGCCAAACAGTCGTTTCGAATATAGAAACTCCTCCTTTTTAACCTGGTTAGTAATATTTCATGTTATTATTATAGCTTATAGCTTAAAATGACAAAGAGTGCTTGAATTGTGTTTAGTACAGTTCCCAAGTCATCTGCTGCCAACTTCGGACAAAGAATAAATCTAATTTTACACATACTTTCGCGTTTAATTTATCTTTATTTTTAATTCGCGATGTGTTGAGTCCTTTACAGCATCTGCGGTCAGGCGGTCCCATTAAATTATTTTATATAAAGTGTAGTTTGTATTCGCTTAAATATAAGAAATTATTCCAACAAGGAGGTTAGTATAATATGCTTTTCATTACAAGCCTTTATTTTATGTTGCTTTCTTCGGTTGAAAATTTTTGAAGCACTTGCTGACATCAAATTACGTTGAAATTTTATACGAGTATACTAGGTACCCATCTACTTTCGATGACAAAGTAATAATATGGTGCCATAAAACTGATGCAATGATGAATTTAGTAACACCTATAAAGGATTGTTTTTAAATAGATTTATTCACCACTAGCTGTACCCCGCGACTTCGCTCGCGTGTTAGGGTTTTTATGTTGCGCGGAACCCTAATTATTTTTCTAAAATAAAAGTAGCCTAAGTTACTCCTTATGTAATCAGCTATTTGCCAGTGAAAGTCCCGTCAAAATCGGTCCAGCCGTTTCGGAGATTAGCCGGAACAAACAGACAGACAGACAGAATTTTTTTTTAAAAATTGTATTTTAGTTACAAGTACCGTATTTACTTTCATATGCATTTAGTAAAAAAAACTGTAATTTTGACATTACAAACAGACACTTCAATTTTATTTATTTGTATAGATTAAGGGCTAACATTTTTTGTTTCTGATTATGTATATTAAAAAACGAACGAGAATGTTCTGTGACGTGTAAGCGTTTTACAAACATAATGGACAAGACGCAGAACAAATATTTGTAGCCTATACAAACACCTAATAACTTTAATAACCGTGATAACTCAGGGTTCAAGCGCAAACGTAAATTACACAGTAGGAACCACTCGGGTTTTCAATCCCCGTCGGCAACAGTGAAATTATTAATTGTATTTAAATACCGTTTTACCACGTGGTCGACGGTGTAGGAAAACATCGTGGGAAAAACGGCATGTTGTGGAATAAAATATTATGTGGTGATCCGAAGTCGCAAACATGCACTGCAGCAGCGCGGCGTAAATTACTCCATATGTTCCAATATTCACCTTCTCAGAAATTTTAGGAAGCTTATTTTTGCTTGTTTTTTTTTAAATATATAATAAGAGAGACGAGCACACAATTCACCTGATGTGGTAGGTGTTGTAGCTTATAGACTTTCTACATCAATCCTCAATTGAATTTTTTTTTTATAGGATCGGGTGACAAACGAGCACACAGTCCACCTGATGGTAAGTGGTTGCTGTGACCCATAGACATCTACATTTATCCTCAATAAAGGATCAAAGTGCAGATGCGGCGCCACCCGGGAGGATTAAGATGTAATGCCTCTCTTCCAGTAAAAGGGGTCTCCGGTTCTCTACACTCACCATACGAAACACAGCAGCATTAATCTGCTATTTTACGCTGGTATTCTGTGAGAGCGTGGTCCTTCCCCGGTCGAGCCGACCCATTTGTGCCACTACTATACTACCAATATAGCTGCAGCATGGCTCTACCACGTATAAATTAAAATATAGTATTATATAAATAAAATTATCACCCCTGAGCACTATGATAGAATGCCTAGTTGCCAGTAAAAAGCATCTCCGGAACGGTACATCGTACGATATCGTCTTTTACCGGTCGAGACGACCATTTTGAACTGCAACAATAATATAGCTGCAGCGTAGATTATTTCAGTCAACAGTGTGACGAATAAAGGCAGCAAGTTTACTTTTAACTTTTTATAATAACATAACTTTTTAA